AGGTCAAGGGTTCATGTCCCCTTTCCCTTTTCCCTTCCCCGAAAAAAAAATTATCCAAAAAAAATTAATGAATTAAACAAAATGTTAAGTGTGCAATTTTGCATTACATGAAAACGATCCATGAGTACAAAAAACTAATGCAAAAAGGTTGAACATCCTTTTTGAACCTTCTAGTCTCTTTTTGACACCTGAAAAAAGCATAAAAATATTGTTACTATATTGAAATGATATATATATATTTATATATATATATATATATATATATATATATATATATATAAAGTATTACCACTAGAGTTTTTCATTTTTGCTCTCTATCTCTCATGCGCTTCTCTCTGACTTTCTCGTTCTCAACCCCCCTCTATCTCTCAGCCTTTCTCCATCTCTGAGGCTCTCTCTTACTTTATCTCGGCCTCCCTCTCACTCCTTCTCTATGCCAAAGAGCGCAACGTTGCTCAAATCTAGTTGCTTTTGCATCGTAGTTTGGGTGGCTTTTGCATCTCAGATTTGGTGGTCGTGGTGTGGTAGTTATGTGGTAAACGACTGTGCTGTGGTGGTTGTGTGGGCAGCAACATGGTGGCTTTGTGTGCAGTGGCTGTAGTGGTGATGGGCAATGGTTGTGGTGGTAGTGCGGTGGCTATGGACAGTTGTTATGGTGATAGTGGCGGTGGCCATTGGTAGTGGTTATGGTGGTAGTAGTAGTGGCTATGGTATTTTTGATTTTTTGGTTTAATTTCTTTGTATTATGTTTTGATTGAATTATGTAATTTTCTTTATCTGATTTATAATTCAAATTCAACTTGAATTACAATCCAAATTAGCCCGAATTAAGAAATTCGAATTCAATTCGAACTCGCCCGAATTCAACTACTCAAATTGAGTACTTTAGGCTGAAGTCAGATTTGGGCACGGATTAAAGATTATATATGTAGGGTAGGGCTAGGGTTGACCTTGCAGCCCGCCTGAGTTGCACCCATACTAATGTGCTAGTTGTTAAATATAAAAGTTAGCAGTGGTTTTAAATTAATTGGGATTAACATATTATTAATTATTCAATAGAGATATCACGTATTAATGATATGGTATCACTTTTACAATATTACTTTATCTCATATACACGGGTGTCCAGGCTATGGACAACCCGATAGCTCAAGAGAAAAATCTAGGGGTTTTTGGAAGCTGGTACACCTAATTAGAGTTATTTGACAAAAAATACATATTAAAAAATATTTTAGGAAAATGTACACTAATTAGATACAAAGACATAAATGTCTATTTTAGGGAAAATGGTGCATTAAATATCTCCTAATTTTATGGGAGAACTTTAATATTTAATGCACATTGATTCATGTGTATTTGTTAATATATATATATATATATATATATATATATTGTATTTATATCATTGAAAGTGTAAAGTGTAAAATGTTATATGTTAACATTGAAAGTGTAGCACTTTCACACTTTCTCAATTAATTAACATTTTTAGTGTAAGATGAGACATGTATATTTTGTTTGTGTAACACTTTAGGTAATATCTCCCCTTACCTTGTGTAAATAGCTTGACATTATTATTGTTACTTTCAATATTATCCTATAACACTTTACACTTTCCATTAAAAAAAGTGAGACATAAGATAATACTTTACACTTTACACTTTCAATATTACACTTTACACGTATATATACATACATATATATATATATATATACACATATACATATACGTATACAAATATGTATATATGTATTTGTTAATATATATGTATTTATATATATATATATATATATATATATATATATATATATATATATATATGTATATATATAAATATGTATAGATATATACATACAAATACACATGAATTAAGGTACATTAAATACTAATAGAGGACAAAACTGCACTATAAAACTAGGAGATATTTAATTCACCACTTTTCAAAGAACATACACATAAATCAATGGAGGACAAAAATGTCACAAAAAAATTAGGCAAATTCAAATTATGTACTTAGATACCAATAAGTATCAAAATTAAGGATTTAATAACCCTACATTTTTTAGTATGTATTTTTTGACAAATAAGTCTAATTTAGTGTACCACTTACAATTTACCCAAAAATCTATGGGTTGCAATCTTCTGCTTTGTGTGTTTGCCTGATCAAGGTCCGTTAAGGTCCATCCTGCCTTGGTCAATTTATCCCAGAAACTATTAAAAAATTGTCAAATTTTGAAAAGAAAAAACTAGAAATTTGTAAGTAAGGGTACAATTTGGGTTAAGTAACCCGATTTCAACCCGAGTCCAACTCAAAAAAATTAGGGATTGAGCAAGAGTTTTTAATATTTGGGTTGGAATTAGTCAAAAAACCCCAACTCGAATTCAATTTGTGTTGGACTCGGGTTTACGGGTTCAACCTGAACCCGACAAATTAATATATATATATATATATAACGCATTAACACTGATTTTTCATTTTTATTCTTTCGTTCTCTTTCCCTCTCGCTTTCTTAGTTGTGAAAAAAAGAACAAAATATATGGATTATGTTTTATGAATTTGTAATTATTCCTCCCTCTCTTTGTCTCTCTCGCAGTGGACTAGTGACAATAATTTTTATGTTATAATTATGGTTTTTATGTTAAAAACTTGGTTGGAATTATTAGTTGTTAATTTATGTGAATATTATATAATATATGTATTAGGTTTAAAACGATAAGCCTATTTTGGACTCTTCCCGAAATGAACTCGTAAATCAGCCCAAAATCATTAACCCGAATTTAACTCAAGTCTGCCCGAATTAAACTTAGGCAGTGATCGGGTTGAGTACTTCAACCTGAGATAGGGTTAGGGTTAGGGTCAGGGTCAGGATTTAAGATTATATACCTAGGGTTGGACTAGGGTTGACGGTCAAACCCGCCCGAATTACACCTCTATTTATAAGATAATACATCCATCAGACTGATCATGATTGGGATAGGTAGATAGCGGGTTCTTTTTTTTTTTTTTTGGACAGGCTAATCTGTTTGGATCTGTTGATTGATCAACAGTTCGTGACCTTGAGGCAACTATATTTAACACGAATCATTAAGCTCTAGACTCGAGTAACATTTGTTTATTGAAGTCCAAAAAAGATAACACATTGTGTCGTTTACAATTGATTTATTCCAAAAGAAATAACATTCACTAGACATTAAGCAACATTTCAAACATTAAAAAAATTAAAGTAAAAACAATCTCCCAATTTAAGAGGAAGAATATGCGACAATGGGGCTTCTCACTTGATACACACCATCATCCCACACCAAAGAACCCGAGAGCATATCATTGCTTAGTGTTGTTGCGATCGTCACAACAAAAGATATCTTTTGCCCTATCGATTTGAATGAAAGAACACTGGGTTCAACTTGGATATTGAGTCCTGGTGGGGCGACCACAGTTGCCTTGTATGTGGACACAGGTAAACCAACGTTTGTGACTGTCCGGTGGAAGTCACGGATGACAGAGGTGTTGGCAGAAAGGGCAAAAGAAGGGTAGTTTAGATCCCAAACAGTTCCATTATTGGCTGCGGTGCAAATAGTACTATTATCTCCAGTAACAATTTCAAATTCTGAGTTGTATAACTTTGCCCGCATAAGAAATTTATGCAATCTGCCCCTCCTGCATCATATACTAGACCAGGATTTGCTGCTTTGAGAGGATTAATGTGACCGGAACCGTATGCAAACTCAACATCAGAGTTGGTAATTGAACTCAAAGGTGTAGCTGAAAGAATAAGCGTAAGCAATGGTTTTACGGATTGAAAACTTCTATCGATTGCACTAGATTCCCACCAATAATGGTTTCCATACGTATTGCCAACAGATATAGGATTCTTTTTATTGTGTCTATGTTGCTTGAAATACTTAGTTCTCAAGTATTTTACTCATTTTTTAAAATTATTTTTGGTAAAGTAGATAAAATAGGAAAAGGCAAACTTTTCCTTTAATCTCCAATATGTTTTCAATGGAGCAAAATACAATATTTATCCCTAAAACGTGCATTCATCTTGCTTTGATCCATATTTTTCTAGTACCTCACCTAATTCCTAAAGTTTTTAATTTAACTATAAATAATGATGCGATTGAAAACGATTATTTGACATTATTAACCAAAGTGGCCACATATGTATGGTGCAATTGGACAAGTGACCACTTTTGCTAAAAAACTTTAAGCTATCATTCTCAATTGGACCATTTAGATTTCACCCTTTTAATTACCTTCTAGAATCCACATGCGACTTAGTGAATCACATCAAAATAGATGGTATCTTTCTCATCTCTTTTAAACAAATGTGTTTACGAAATATAGAATTTTTGTGGTTTAAAGGAGTCTTCTCTTTCTTTGAAGAAGTTTGTTGAAGACATTTTAAGATTGTTATATCCGATCTAATTACCTGTTGTCATAAGAGCAGACTTGATTGCTGCTGGAGACCATGTTGGGTGAAATGATTTAACATAAGCAGCAGCTCCAGTTGCATGAGGGCAAGACATGGATGTGCCAGAGATTATGTTGTATGGAACGACTCTTGTATCTCCTTCTATTCCAGTCATAGTAGTAGCTAGTGACCATGCTGCAACGATGTCCACTCCAGGTGCAGTCCAATCAGGCTACACAAGAACAAAAGTTTGAGATCCAAGGGAGAAAATCGGAATTAATTCATTTAGTACCAATATTTAGCTTTTTTTTTTTTCTAAATACTAAACTACGGTAGATTAGGAAATAAATTAGCAATCACGGTCTTGGGGAAAAAAATTAAAATAATCTAAAATAATAAAAAGTTGGAGAAAATGGTGTATATAACTTACCTTCAGGATGTCGCTAGTAATTGGATTTGGTCCCCTTGATGAAAAGGAAACTACAAATGGAGCCAATCTGTCTTTAATCTCAGTGCTCTTCAGAATGGTTGCTGTTGGCTTCCTGCACAATTATCATTATTTGAGTTCTTAATCATATTCTGATTAGAAAATTGAGGAAAGAGATTGTCTACAAATATATACCCAGTTGAATTGCTGTAGGCAGGTACTGAACTTCCATCGCTCAAGGTTATATATGAAGTGGACAATGGGAAAGAGAAAGCAACATCTTCAAAGCCTGAGTCGCGCATTATGGTACCAATTGCACCTGCACCTAATGCTCCTTCCCCATCATTCAACAGATCACAGAGAGCTATTGTACCATTCACCAAAGTGGAGTCCAACGATCCTGGATAGCAGAACCTGCATTTTGTGATGAGGGTTTCAATAAAATTGGTAGGACACTTATCAAATATGGATATTTTGTTTAGGTCAAAATGTTTATAGACTCGTCATGGGTATGAGCATAAAAAATAAATATATTTTGATACGGATAAATTGTGTTTTGTATCTTTTCCTCTAAAATTCACGTATAATAATATACAATAAAGAAAAATTCATAAAATTTTGAAAAACGTGAGTATTTCTCATGTATTATATATTATCACACTGTCGAAGTGATATAATATGGGTTTATTACACTTAATTTCTCTGCAAAAAATATTTTTAAACAAACCAACTAGTTATACATAAATGCTCATTTTAGTTTCTTCAATTAACTATGTTCACTTCATGAGAATACCATAAAATAATTCAAAAATTGACAGAAAATTGTACAAATATGAAACATATTTTATTATATAAGATTTTTTCATACCAGTATATTCCTACCATCTTGTACCAGTATCCATAAATATATCATGTAGCCATATCCATGCAGAAGCCCTATTGTCAAAGAAAATTGAATGTTTTTTTAATTATTTTTTCTGATCTTCTCTCCTTTCTTACTTGGATGTTTTTTTTTTTTGGAAAGTAAAATGTATTCAATAAACCAAATGTAAAGGGTAACCACCCACAAATACAAGGAGACTTAGGGGCACATAACCCAAAATAGAAACAAGGAAAACACACTTCTGTAGGGGATGTCCATGAAGTGAAAAGGGTATCACCCATAGAAATGCAAACAAAAGGTAATGTTATAAACAAACAAAACAGGGGGGCTGTTTGTAACCAGCGAGCTTCAGAGCAGAAACAGGACAACCAAAACATCAACCACATGGGAGAGGAAGTAGGAAAGGCTCTAACAGCAACACCAATGCACCATCAACAGAACAACATGAGCCGTCATAGAGCTCCATTCATGCAGCAGATGCATAGAACCAGGAAGATGAAGAGACACCTCCCTCTATAAAGCAACGGAAACGCATATAGGCCCAGCTAGCAAACCACCATGAAGCGCAAGAGGGAGGAGATAGACATGAGGGAGGGCGATCAGAGAAGACCAAAGTCACCAAGAGAGAAGAGGAGGATAGCCCAGGGAGGATCATCCCAAGCCTACCCAACAAAATGCTGAGGTTGATACAACAACTCTGCCTAGAAGGACCACCACAAGAGCAAGAGATAATCCAGCCGAAGCAAAGCCAATAGAGCCATAGACCATAGTGCGAACAGGGGCAGCCACAGAGAGCCAGAGCAGATCCACCAATAGAGTAATCCATAAAGCAAAGGTGAACCCCAACAACTATAACCAGTATCAGCAAGGAAGAACATGCAATATATGTGACAATAACACCACCCGTAAAATCATAGTAGGAAATCAAAGCAGCGGTAATACTAGAATAGAGCCTCATAGATAAGAACAGAGAGCAGGAGACCAATGGAATCCCCCCAAATGAGCAGAAGCAATGTAGCAGTAGATAACGACTATCACCAGATAAAACACCCAGCACAGGGGAGGGCACTAGGAAAAGCAGCAAGATGGGAGGTTCCAAGGCTGTATAATAAGAACGTTACTATGGGAAGGCTTGAATTTGAGGGAAGCCAATCTACTCTACATAGTCTGAAAGATAATATGGGTCACAGAAAAGGTGTCCTTGAACTGGTTACGAAACCTCCTATTATTCCTTTCCATCCACAGGTGGTACACAGTAGCTACCAAGCAAATACGACAAAACAAGTTCTTCATTGACTTCCCCTTCCAATTAAGAGCAACCAAGATAACCAGTTCATTCCATGGCATAGGCTGCCAAAGCACCCCAGCACGTGAGAGGGCATTAGACCATACATTAGATGAATAAGGGCAAGCAAAGAAGAGGTGGGCATGGGATTCACGAGAGGACCTGTAGAGAATACACCCAAGACCCAAGTGGAGAGCAAATGAGTGTATTAGAGTATGTGTGGCTCATATTTGCTGTGTGCATAATAGCAAGGAGGCAGATGCAGGAGCGGAGCCCGTGACGGCATCTGTCTTACGGTACAGGAGTATTTTTGTAAATACGTCTGTGTTAGGGTTATATAAATACTTAAGATGTAACCTTACTTTTAAAAATAAAAAAAAGAACGGCCGCTCGCTCTCGTGGATGTAGGCACATTGCCGAACCACGTAAATCTCTGTGTGTTATTTTCTCTTACTTTCTTAATTGTTTGATTCCTTACTATTCACCATAATTGCTACACGATCACAACAACTGGTATCAGAGCTAGACTACGATGTCTGGGATTTCCTCTACAAAATTCGACATCATGAAGTTCGACGGAACTGGGAATTTCGAATTATGGCAGAGGAGGGTGAAGGACCTGTTAGTGCAGCAGGACATGGTGAAGACGTTATACGGAAAACAACCGGCAGGAATGGATGACATGAATTGAAAAGAATTGGAAGCGAAGGCTGTGGCGACTATTAGGCTTTGTCTGGCTGATGAAGTGATGTATCACGCCGTGGATGAGGAATCACCGGCGGAAGTTTGGTTGAAACTGGAAAGTCGGTATATGTCCAAGTCGTTGACGAACAAGCTCTATTTTAAGTAGAAATTATATGGTCTTAAGATGTCAAAGGGCTCGGATTTGACCCAACACATCAACGTGTTCAATCAGATCATCAGCGATCTGAAGCGAGTTGATGTGAAGTTCGAAGACGAAGACAAGACGCTGATGTTGTTGAATTCCCTACCGGCGTCTCCTACGTACGAGAATTTGGTTACGACTCTGATGTGGGGGAAAGAAATCCTCGAGTTGGAGGATGTCACAGGTGCTCTGTTAGGTTTTCATCAGCGGAAGAAAGCCAGTGATGAGGCTTCACAAGGTGAAGGGCTTGTGGTGAAAGGTAACCAGGAACGTGGAAGAAGCAAATCTCGGAATGGATCGGGTAACAATAAAGCCCGGTCCAAGTCGAGGAAGAAGAAGAAGGACGTCTCTGTCTCGTGTTACAAGTGCGGGAAAAAGGGGCACTTTAAACGGGACTGTCCAGAGAAAAAGAAAGGGGATTCAGAGAACAAAGAGGGTGCATCAAAGTCTGCAAACGTAGTGGAAGAAGAAGATTCAGAGAGTGGTGACGGAGATATGCTTTCTGTTTTATCTAGTTCAGATCGTTTAACAGATTCTTGGATTATGGATTCAGCATGTTCCTATCACATGACACCCAACAAAGATTGGTTTGACACCTACAGGTCAGTAAATTCTGGTTCTGTTCTGATGGGTAATGATGCATCTTGCAAAGTTGTTGGAATAGGAAATATTAGAATTAAGATGTTTGATGGTATGGTTAGAACGTTGTGTGATGTTAGACATGTACCGGATCTAAGGAAGAATTTGATTTCATTGGGCACTTTGGATTGTAATGGTTATAGTTACAAATCTATAAGTGGAGTAATGAAAGTAAGTAAAGGCATGCTGACAGTGATGAAGGGACAGAAAGTAGTAGGAAACATTTACAGACTGCTAGGTACTACAATTGTAAGTGGAGTTGCTACTGTAGAGTCTGAATCAGATAATACAGTCTTGTGGCATATGCGGCTGGGTCATATGAGTGAGCGTGGGATGATAGAGCTTCATAAGAAAAATCTATTGAAGGGTGTCAAGACATGCAAGCTCAATTTTTGCAAATATTGTGTTCTTGGAAAACAGAATAGGGTGCAGTTCAAGACAGCCACACACAAGACAGAGGGGGTTCTCGACTATGTCCATACAGATGTTTGGGGACCAGTTAGCGTACTATCACGGGGAGGATACATGTATTTCGTGAGTTTCATTGATGATTACTCACGAAAGGTCTGGGTGTACTTCATGCGGCACAAGTCAGAAGCGTTTGCCAAGTTCAAGTTGTGGAAAGCTGAAGTAGAGAACCAGACAGGGAGGAAGATTAAATGCCTCAGGTCAGATAATGGTACTGAGTACACAGATTCAAAGTTCCAGGAGTTGTGTGAGCAGCATGGGATTAAGAGACACTTCACAGTTCGCAAGACACCACAACAAAATGGTGTAGCGGAAAGGATGAATAGAACGATAGCCGAGNACATGGTGAAGACGTTATACGGAAAACAACCGGCAGGAATGGATGACATGAATTGAAAAGAATTGGAAGCGAAGGCTGTGGCGACTATTAGGCTTTGTCTGGCTGATGAAGTGATGTATCACGCCGTGGATGAGGAATCACCGGCGGAAGTTTGGTTGAAACTGGAAAGTCGGTATATGTCCAAGTCGTTGACGAACAAGCTCTATTTTAAGTAGAAATTATATGGTCTTAAGATGTCAAAGGGCTCGGATTTGACCCAACACATCAACGTGTTCAATCAGATCATCAGCGATCTGAAGCGAGTTGATGTGAAGTTCGAAGACGAAGACAAGGCGCTGATGTTGCTGAATTCCTTACCGGCGTCTCCTACGTACGAGAATTTGGTTACGACTCTGATGTGGGGGAAAGAAACCCTCGAATTGGAGGATGTCACAGGTGCTCTGTTAGGTTTTCATCAGCGGAAGAAAGCCAGTGATGAGGCTTCACAAGGTGAAGGGCTTGTGGTGAAAGGTAACCAGGAACGTGGAAGAAGCAAATCTCGGAATGGATCGGGTAACAATAAAGCCCGGTCCAAGTCGAGGAAGAAGAAGAAGGACGTCTCTGTCTCGTGTTACAAGTGCGGGAAAAAGGGGCACTTTAAACGGGACTGTCCAGAGAAAAAGAAAGGGGATTCAGAGAACAAAGAGGGTGCATCAAAGTCTGCAAACGTAGTGGAAGAAGAAGATTCAGAGAGTGGTGACGGAGATATGCTTTCTGTTTTATCTAGTTCAGATCGTTTAACAGATTCTTGGATTATGGATTCAGCATGTTCCTATCACATGACACCCAACAAAGATTGGTTTGACACCTACAGGTCAGTAAATTCTGGTTCTGTTCTGATGGGTAATGATGCATCTTGCAAAGTTGTTGGAATAGGAAATATTAGAATTAAGATGTTTGATGGTATGGTTAGAACGTTGTGTGATGTTAGACATGTACCGGATCTAAGGAAGAATTTGATTTCATTGGGCACTTTGGATTGTAATGGTTATAGTTACAAATCTATAAGTGGAGTAATGAAAGTGAGTAAAGGCATGCTGACAGTGATGAAGGGACAGAAAGTAGCAGGAAACATTTACAGACTACTAGGTACTACAATTGTAAGTGGAGTTGCTACTGTAGAGTCTGAATCAGATAATACAGTCTTGTGGCATATGCGGCTGGGTCATATGAGTGAGCGTGGGATGATAGAGCTTCATAAGAAAAATCTATTGAAGGGGGTCAAGACATGCAAGCTCAATTTTTGCAAATATTGTGTTCTTGGAAAACAGAATAGGGTGCAGTTCAAGATAGCCACACACAAGACAGAGGGGGTTCTCGACTATGTCCATACAGATGTTTAGGG